GAAGGAGACTCTTCAATATCATCTGTGCTTCTATGTTTCGTCAACCAACAGCAAGCCACTGGAGGAATGCCTGCAGCTAACCCACATCCACTCTAACTGAATTATTGATTCAGTCTGTTTCAGACCTTGAGTGAAATATGAATGAATTAAGCTATGATTCCAAATTGGATGTTAATACATTATTCATTTCCAGGTAATACCATAACGTGATCATTATAATATTAGTCCATTATCAAGTTTCCGTAGCAAGTTACCTTGATTTAATACAAATAATATTTATTTACAGGTTTTTGTTGTTTGACTTATAATGGAGTAAACAAGATATTTTAATTAGTCTCATGGAAATAATGTAAGTACTTGGGGAAATATTGATGAGAAAGCTTATTGATGTGAACACTGGTCAGTGGGAAACACTAAATACTGTAACATCTGCCCAAAACGTGCTAATCTCAAGGACTTGGCAAAGACTCCAAGCTGAAATACACACTGTGCTGTATGATCCACTTATTGGATGGTTCAAGTACAAGATTAAGTTCCCTTTTTTCAGTGTAATCAAAAACTGAAACATTGCAATTACCCCTCAGGCTGCACACCATATTTGTGGAAAACAGATTATGTCATTAGGTGTGTCTGTGTGTTCTGAGGTGCTACATATACCACAGTGTCTATATAAAAACACACCTTTTCCCGGGATATACCAGTAATAAAGCAGGATCATGTTCACTTGTGGCATCCCTCTCTTGTATTCAGGCTATATTAGAGAAGTTAACCTCCCTCCCCTGTAGATAATGATATTTCAGAGGTCGTAGCGGCATGGTGACACCCAGAGAGATTCATCTCTTATTCAACAGAACCAATCTCACTCTGTGTCTATCAGACAGCCTGGAGCAGAAGGAAGAACATTTATTTTAGAGGGGTGTGCTAGAGATGTTGTATTGTTTCCAAGTGGTGCATCGCACGTTATCAATCCTAGAAATGGGGATACGTAGAACACATCACATCACAACAGGGGGGGAAAAATAAGCAAACACCAAAAATTTATGATTTTGTGGTTTCAGATCACGTCAGATAAAACACAACTCACTGCCACTGAAGAATAGCAGAGGTGGAATATCAGGAGTTCATCACAGAAAGAACAAAGCACACTTAATCTAGCTTTCTGTTAACCAAGGCTTTCATTTAGATGTATCAAGGTTAAATGTTGCAGGCGCTCTGATAAACAGGCAGGGTGTTAAGAGACATGTCCTGAGTTCAGTAGGTGTAGCTGTTCAAAGTAGTACTGTCTTTTTAAGTCAGTTCGTCACAGGCCATCAGGGAGAACATTTCCCTCTTTGTTCAAATAATAAGAGCATTAACTTTTATGACTCTTATTAAAATAAGACATCATTGTGTCATCAAATAAAACTTGTTTATCCTTTCACTCTCTGAGGGGAGAGTATAAACACTTCACAACAGATGTCTGGCAGCATAACAAACTCAGTCTTGTTAGTTGTAAGTGACTGAAAAGGCAGGTAGAATTGTGCTCAGATCATTTACTTGTGTAGCAGTAACAAACATCAAACCTCATAGGCAGGAAGCTATGGTATATTATGTGTAATTGTTGGTAAAATGGATCTTGTACTTGTTACGCTTCTTTTTATTCTTTGTCCGACACTCAAAGCGCTTGTTAACGTGCCACATTCACCCTTTCACACAGCGATGGCAAAGCCCACGGCATCGGGAGCACTTCGGGATTCAGTATCTTGCTCAAGGATACTTCAACATGTGGCACAAGGAGCCGGGGATCGAACTAACAACCTTCTGATTAGGGGATGACCCACTCTGCCTCTGAGCCACAGCCGCCCAACTTAACTTAACTGTTGGTTGATCTGTGATTACAGTGAGACTCAAAAAGAGAGCTGTCTTTTAGCACTGGGCATGAAGAGGCCAAAGTAGGGCCAAAGTTTTACTTAAGTGGGCCAAGCTTGGCTGAACCGTGCCTGAGAGGGGGGGGCGGTACGGTCCAGCTGGAGGAGAGGTTAGCGGGGCGGCTGTCCAGTGGTTCAGGCTACATTACATTGATGGATTGCAGCTCCTAAATCTCCCCTGGCCATCTGCAGGCTCTAATGTGGGCCACTGGGGGGTCCAGGATGAAAAGAGTATAGGAGAAGGATGAGCTACTAAGATTTATCTGACCAAGCAGGGCTGAAGCAGCTTTTGAGGCTGCAGCGATGGACGGGTTTTTACTACCTCTGATTGGGGAGCTGAGATTGAATTTGGTGCTCAACCCGAAAAGATGTCCTGGGGCGAACATAAGACACAAAGCCCACTTGATGGCTCTGACGTGCTTACACACAAACAGGATGGTAGCAAGAGCAGGAGGAGAAGAGGAAGGAAGCAAAGAAGTGAAGATGGGTGGGGAAATCTGCAGTATTGTGTTACAGTTATAATTGATTTTCCAAGTGCATTACAATGAAGGTCTTCAGCAAACATATTCTGCTATAATGTGAGGAGAAAGGGGTTGATAAGCTAATGATATGAGACTTAGAAAAATGGAAAAAGCTTTAGGATGGGAGTGGAGACTTGAGCAGTTGATTACAGCAGCTGATCATGACAGATAGAGAGTTGAAATGAGAGGACACAGACTAACAGATTGGACAGCCACTTACAGAGGCATGCTGGAGAGCTCTCAATTAATCCAGTCTAATTCAGGAAAGATGTGCGACTCTTGCTGAGAATAATTAACCCAGCCAATCAGCATCACAATAGTTTACACATATCTATTAACGTACCTTGCCGGCTGTTGTACTATACATTAATGAGCAAGCAAGGTACTGCCTGAATGAATGAACAGATAGACGGGGAGTGGGCGCATTGATTGATTAATGGATGTAATAAACACAGAACAATCAGTGTCACTGAGTGCAGGAAAAGTCATAAATAATGTTTTTCCCATTATATCATGGTACTTGTTGGCTGCAGAATGAACAAATATGTGTGCAGAAATATGTGCATGTAGCGCAAAGTGACATATCAAATTAATATGGGGAATAGAAAACATGAATTCAACAAAAAAGTTTCAATTTGTCTTAAGTTGTTTACTCACAAGTGCCTCGTGTGCATTGGAAAATGTGGCCTCATAACATTTAGTTGATGTCAACAGCAGTTAAGGCATCGCCATTGCTTTTGGTGATCTTCCTGTTGACTGTAAATAGGCTTTTAATAGGGCTCTCTACTCTATGGGCTTCATAAATTAGACCCCACTGATGGCAATGTAGTGGAAATAACCATCTATTCTTTGTGCACATATAGCACACACGGAGAGAAAGAATTAGGGGGAAAGGAAAAAAGAGGATGAGGTGAGAGAGAAGCAGAGAGGTAAAATGAGAGATAGGAGACACCTATAGGAAGACAGGCTGAGAGATACAGAAAATTACCTAAGACCTGTGTTCCGGTGAGAAATAAGACAGAGAGATAATAAAGAGAAAGAGGGGGTTGAGGGAGGTGGACAGAGCACATATGAATGAGAAGAAGTAGATAAAACGTTCACATATAGCGTTTCTGGATTTGATGGTTTTTTTCCCCAACGAGTAAGGGATCTTCCTTCCCCAGCAATTGCTCTCCATCAACCTAATTTGAATTCTGCATTTCATATATCATCCCATACTCAAGGGACGCTGCGCTGCAGAGGGGAGTTCAGCTCAGGTTAGGAAGAGGCTCTTGGCTTCGGGTATGTTCTCAGTAATTAGGAAAGGTGCCAAAGTTTGGATTTAATACGGCCTTGGGTGAGTGTGCGAGAGCTTGTTAGGGAAGTCTTTAGTCTGGACCCCGAGGAGCATGTCAAGCATTTCCGTGTCAAAGGGCTCATCAGTCATTAGCTCTGTACTGTGTGTTGCAGCGGGGTTTCCAGAGGCGAGGAAGAGGGTGTACTGGATCTACAACATCATCTCCCTAAGCCTTACTGAGCAAGTTAGACGCATAGACGTCATCAGAAGAAGACCAGCAGAGTTTAAGAAATCTTCAGTTTTCAGGGATCAACTAAATTTTCCCTCTAAGCAGGAAATTATTGCTGTAAAATGAACCAGCATGCAGATGAGAGAGAGTAAGGGGACATGGAAATGATGAGAAAAGACTAAATATTTGCATGTGAGAATAAATGTGTGCATGCAGAGGTGGGAAACGGGTGTCCAAAGGAATTTTAAATCATTGTAAACACACTTCTAAATACTTGAGTTGTTTATGAACGTCTGCCTTCAAGTTGAGCTTCCTCTGGTGAAATTCAAAGCTTTAGCATCCTCAGTGGCCCCCTCAGTCTTAATATGCATGCTTTTTAGCTCCTTCAGCCGTCACTGGGAGTAATGCATAATGTATTAAAATAACCTAACAAGATGCGTGTCAGGTGAACCTACACAATATTTTATCAATAATCTGCTTCATTGTTATGCAAGTCGGGAATAACTAAACATACTAACAAACTAAAACAACAAAAATCTTCTGTGGATTATTCACTGTTGTTTAATTCAAACTTGTTAGAAAAACGCTGACTATTACAAAGAGTCTCTGATAAGTGAGCTTCGAACAACAACTCTCATTAGTGACCCACAGAGAGAGACAAGCTGAGGCTGGACTAAGGGTAAACTGATTAGAAAATTCACACAGAATAATGAAGCATGTAAACAAAGTAATGTAAATATACACAGGCACAATCACAAGAATACACAAAACCAATCTTGCACAAACAAACACATGCACAAACACATTCAGAGCCCTAATAACCAAAACCCCTGCTGAACGCATGCAAAAAAGATCTTAGTGTTTGCCTAAGTAATAGTAATTGTTATGAGGACAATGTGAAAATGTCAAACATTTCAACAGCATGCTGAGCACGGCTGTTGCACTGGTCCTTTTCCCCTAGCTGTAGAAACAGCTTTCTGGATTTAATTGGATGGTGGGCACACTGAGCTGAGAGGTGAGAGGCTTAGTGCTAAGAGTTGGAAGGTCTAACTAAGGGATGTTAAACTTAATTCCTGTAGGGACCCCTGAATGCAGGATTCTACACTGCCCTCTGCTCCTAATAAGTTAATTAGCCCAGCGCTGGGTCAAGAGAACAGAATACATTTAACATGGAGCATATTAACAGTTACAGACAATGATAACTTTGCTGTATGCCGTACATAATATGCCACTCATTTGGGCTTTGATAAGGCTCCTGGTGCATTGTGGGGGAAGGACTCATTGCCACATCGTTCATACATAATGTCTTATTGATTAGATGGCTACTGACTCGTACAGAAACCAAGAAATTTTTTTCTGATATTTTATAGACCAAAGAATTGATTGATAAATCAAGAAAATAAGTTGCAACCCTACTCCTCATCAACGAAAGGTTTCTACATGCATCAAACAAACTAGCAAGATCGCGTCAGGCACCAAAGGTTTCAGTATTCATTTTCTGAACTAACTAAACTTGGTGCAGCGAGGAGATGTCTGTCACTTGCAGGGTGGGGGAATGTAAACAAGACAAATGTGCCTTCCTGTAGCATCTCCATGCTTCATCTTTTTGTTTGATTTTGTTAGATTCCCACTGGAGTTTGGTCCAATTTGATTAGAACAGGGAAAATATGCATTAATAATACTTATTGCGCTGAATTCTTACCGCAACTAAAGGGGTTTTGGAGTAGAGAACCGATTATAAATAGATTTCCTCTGGGAAAGACTCACTCAACACTCCCTCTCTTGTGGTGATGAAGAATTTTCCAACGAAAAAAGTTACATGTGTATGTTTTTCTTTTCATAAAGGCTAAATGTACAAGCTTTCCACTGAAGACAGTATACTGTCCCACAATGTCAAGTTAAGATGTAAGAGTGGTGCAAGAGGAGTTCTGGTTTGTGTTTTTAACAAACATAAAGGAACAGGCTAAAAAACAGTTGCGTGTCTCTCCTTTGACATGAGTTATGCTGTAATTGAAAAAAAAATCCAATATGTTATATATGATTGGATCATGACGCACTGGATTGGATTTCATGCCAGATTAAAAACAAAACAAAAACGAACTACATAGTTTAATTAAATGGTGATTAAGTAAGGTAAAAAAACAACAACAATATTGTGCAGAGCTCATGTTAGGAACAATGTGGTTATTGTACATATTTCACTTTTTGTGTTTCTGAACAGAGAGCACCTGTGAAGTGCATTTTAAATGCATCGTTTAAATTTGCTGCAATATTCTTTGCTTGTTTCATTGGAGTGGTTTTCATTGTGATAGTGCTACTACAGCTTAGACACTGATAATAAGGGTTAAAGTTCTAATCTCTCTCTCGCTCAGTCACTTGCTCAGTCACTCTCTGCAGAGGCTGAAATACATATTTTGTGTTGCTGACCATACTGTGCACACTGGAGCTGTCAAGAGCACTCCCAAAGGAGAACACCAAAGTTTTTAACAGCATTCCTATTTGCTGGTAAGCAGGGGTCAGTTCTACTTCCAGTCAGCTGTCAGTATTGTCCTATTCATGTTTGCTACCATATACAGTATAACCTCTGCTCTCTTCCCATATCATCTCCATCATCAGATAGCCATACCCTCAGCCCTGACACTGACAGCATGACATAGAAATGTGTGAATTTATGTCACGGGTCACAGGAGGAAACAACACTCAGCATAACAATGGAAAAAATTGGGCAGATGTGCAGCATCACACTTAATGACAGTCGGTCAAAATGTGTCAGAATCCATCGAACACTGCACTTCTTGAATGGAATGGGGAAAATATTTCTTCAAGATGATAGCGAAGCCTAACTGTGTCAGGTGTCAACTGGGCTGTGTGTCCATTTAAAGCAGTAATGTGGAAAGGTCTATGGAAAAGCTGAGTACCCTAGGAGAACCTTCTCTCCGGAAAACAATATTTCCTGCGCCTGGGAACCAGAGTACCTGACAGTAAGCATTTTTCATGCAACCTCGTAACCTTGCTGACTTCTTTACCTAGCTACCACAACTTCCACACATTGTCACAGGACAAATGACACATACTATCACCCTTAACCTTTAGTGATGATAGGCGTGGCACACAGAGGTGGATGAACAGGGCTTGAGAGACCACACTGTGCCCCACTGTCATCACAGCAAATGGATCAGTGGAAAAAGGCCCACTGAAGTCGACGAGGACACTCTAGCCCTGGATGCCACTGTGCTCAGCACTTAGCTGAAACACTGCTGATGCAGGTGCACAGTGCCAGCCAAACCAGGGCAGGAGGGGCAGGATTCATTGCTGTCTTTCTAACGAAGCCATCCTTGGCTATACTGTCAACACCGAGGGGACAGACTCCACACGGTTAAATATGCTCCTTGTCTTTTTGTCTGTGTGAGCATGCACATGTTCAGTTTAAAAGATATGCAAAAATGAATGGTTAAGACTACACAGTACCGATAAAAGGAGAAACCTATGTGAAATAGTTTTGCAGGTATCATCACTTTGGGCAATACGGAAACAGCGTCTCCATATGGTTTGTTTAATTTTTACTTCAGACTGAGAGTGCATACAGTAGTATAGAATTATTTTTCATTTCTATCACAACTTCTGTCCCTTATCTTCCTCCCAGACAAAAAACTTTTAAAATAGCAGAGATTATTTTTCAATTTCCTACCTTTCCTCTTGGAGAGTATACATTCCCCTGTTGTCATCAACCAACCAGATATCATATATTCCCTGGGTCTCTATACAGTTTAACATTTATAGACATGATTATGAATACTTTTGTGTGGTTTAGTAATCGAAATGAGAAGTATTTCCATAAAACAAGTGTGTAATTACTTATCTGTTTGCCTGTGGTTTTCTCTCAGCGCCACAATCAATTACTCTGTCCTCAGAAATGATAAATAATGAGGAAAGCTTGCGGCTAAACAGATTTCAGAGAGCAAATCCAATATTTCACCTCGGAGAGAATGGAGGAAACAGCTGAAACAAAATGGATACAGTAATGAGTCCCCTGTTGTATCTTAATATGTCTTGGTACACTGTACTGCACTCCTTGTTTTACCCGGGCACTTGTATTCATACACTGGTGGGCAAAAGACAAGCGTCTGTCCTCTTTGATTATTATCTTGCTTGACCGTTAGTTAGCAGGGCATCTCAAACCTAATAAACATATGTCAATAACATTTTGGAAATTATGGCCATGTGCCAAGAAAGAACAGTTTTTGGCACAGATGTGATGATTGATTTAGAAAGTACTTCCTGTTTTCACTCATAAAGTGCTTGATTTGGTCCATGCATATTTCTTTGCTCTTTCTCAACCACTTCTTTAACAAATGTCATAAAGAAGATGTCATCATTACCAAAGTTGGTTCATAACATATTCAAATGAAAATGTAGATTTTTGATATTGCCTTTTTTGACGGTTATAGGTGGCGCTACAACAACAGGATAAATTGAAATGGCCATAACTCAGCAGTCATGAGACTTACTCACTTGAAAGTTTATACTTGTACAAAGCCTTACTAAAACTAATTACAAATCAGCATAATTGTTTTGACTATAAATATTTTGGTACGGATCTCAAATCCAGATCCAACTTCTAAACATTTTCAATCATTAAAATGTCAAATTTTGAGGATTCTGCAGCCTTGGCGGAAGTGTGCGCTTTTTGAGTGCTTTCTAGATGAATACGCACTTAAATCAGGGAAGGCAGTTTGCCATCATTTCTCAAACCTCCAAAGTAATCAAAGCCTGCACTTTTCACATTCATTGGTACTCTTTCCTTTCTTTTAACATATCAAACAAACGCATTTTCAAAAACAAGTGATACACTGCTGATTTCAAGCTAAGGGGATTATGCAGAAAGCATGTCTTTCTTGTACCTCCCAGTTATAAAACAAAGCAAGATACATCAGCCAAAAGAAAAGAAAAATGTGCTGTCTTCAGTGTTTGTAGATTGCTTTTGGTAAAAAAAGACACAAAAAAATAGAAGAGAACATCCTCTGGAAATTTCTGTCAGAACTGAATGAAAGAAAGTGATTGAATTTTCAAGTGACTGTAGCCTGTAGCTTTTGCAATGGACAAGAGTCTGTGTCCAATCACACCTATTGTACAACTTGTTTCTCTGAACTGCATTAACCATTGTAGCTGTGTCTTATAATAAGATCTCCATTGATTTGTGATACCATGACGGTAATAACCAGTAAATTAAATAGCAGTCTATAGCTCCCCTGTTGAGTGCTGGGTTGTTTAATTAGTAAACCAATGAGGAAATCAAACTAAAACTAAATCAATAGCTGGGAAAATGTGGGGTAGTACACTCAGAGTATATAGTTAACCTTACAAGGCCGTAACAACCATAATATTTCACAAGACAGTTCAAACGATAAGCATCCAATTTATTCAGATGCCAAGGACAGTTGACTGGTGGAATGCCAGTGGGGAAAGACACTGGCTCTTTGTTATTTCTCCCCTATTTCACCCTTCTCTTTAACAAATATTTCCACTTCACTATAATAAATCACAAAATGTTCAGTTAAAATCACAACTGTACCTGAAGAGATGGAGGCCAAGCGGAATGCGTCAGGGTGTCGGTTTGGTGCTACAGGTTCATACGGGGATGAGTCATCCATGTCTCCACCTGAAACAACAGTAAAGAGATTTATTAACACTCGTTCATGACCTGCTCTGTACTTTACCCTCCTTGCAGAGCAGAGCATTAGAGCGTTTCCAAAAACAGAAAACAGAAACAAGCCTACGCTATCAATAATCATTAGAAAACATATGTAGGAATGTGTTTTAGCTCCAACAGCCATAAAAACAGAGAGGAAGTTCAATTCATGATTCCTTTTTAGAAGCACTGTAATAAGTAAGCTTTTTTTTCATTTGATGGATCGACTGAATGTTTTGGATTTAAATAACATTATAATGTAATAATATAATTTCCCAGTGTTGGCCAACAACTGAGGCAACCCACTATGAACAATTTTTATTTCTTTCATATGGAAAACAGGATGTTCATCATGGTCAAATCATTTCCTTTTGGAGAGAGTATTTGTTCCTGCTGTGGTTTGATTTGGGAAGCAGCTAAAGGACTAAAGCACAAGCATTGCATCCTTCCCTGTTAACAATGTGTTGCCAGAGCTGTTTGTAAAAAAAAAAAAAAAATTAAAAATCAAATTAGCACTCAACTGACTGAGTCTCCCCCATGTGCCTGCTTCTCTGTAGGCCCTAATCCCGCATTTAAAATTCATAGCCATTCGGTGTGATTGAGACAAACCCTCCAGTGTGTAATAGCTTTGCATTCTGATCCCAACAGAAACACAGTGAGGGTGTTGTGAGGAAGGTTTGTGGCCCCGCTGCTACAAATAAGAAAATCTGAAGGAAGAATCTGTTGGTATAAGATCGTGCTACCTAGACAACCAATCAGTAGATCCAATCAATAGATATAGTAAATTTTGTTTATCAACATCCTCATAGGATGCGTTCAAAAAAGATGTTAGAAGCTGATAAAATATTGTCTTGTAGCTGCTCTGATAATAGGTAAGGCTATTGTGGACAGTGTATTGTGTGTGACTGTGTTTACCAGTACATATAATACACTTTTATTCATGTCTCCTGTGAACATATTTAATCAACAAGTAGGAGTCAAAATCAGAAATAAAAGTCATGATAACATCAGCTATGTGTTGCTACTTCACTTAAGGTGGAACGGAAGTCGTACAAGTTGAATCTGTCCATTAAAACTAATCAAAAGCAGGAAGATATGTACATGTGCACTGGCACATGGTAAAAAGGAATGTCTAAAAAGGAATTACTAAAGGGAATATTCTATCATAATTTGTCCACAGAGGAAAGAGAACCAACCCCAGACTTGTGTACATCTGCAGTCATTGCTTTAGGTCTAGTTCTACATCGCCCCTCTCCGTCAATATTAACAATCATAACAAGATGGAGCAGCTCAGCTGGCCATTCTCTGAACACATATAGCTATTGACATCTGGCACAGTTGAGGATAGTATGTGTGTTTGAGATGGACAAAAAAGAGCAGAGAAGAGTCAGACTGGAGACACAAAGGAGAGAAAAGAAAAGACAGACAAAGAGAGAAAATTGGAGGAGGGACAAGTTATACAATAAGAGACAATTATCTAAATCCTTAAAGTTTTGAGCGTAGTATATGTGACTTTCTTTCTTTGTTTGTTTATTGAAAAATATGCTTGCACATGAATTTATTTTAAAGTATATTTCTGTGTTTATTTTTTCATGGTTGTCTCTGCATCATCCACATCTCCGTCAAGAGAGAGGGGCTTGAGAGGCTGCCGGACTCGAGCTCTCTCAGTATGTCTAATTACAACAATTACCTTCTAAAGCTATAGTGCTTTAGAAGCCTCTCAAGAGTTCAAGACTACCATTTACTCAGCAAACAACCACCTTAACCCTCCTTCCATGTCTTTTTTCAGCCACAGACAGTTACTGTGTACTTCAAAAAAAGAGGGAAATATTTCACAGGAAAGCGTAATGCTTCCTTCAGTACACCAAGAACACGTTGTACTACACAGAGCAAAATGGAATAAAGGCTGCCCTATCTTTTGCCAAAAGCAAAACATCTTGTTGTTAGGTTGCTTACCATTTTGTTCAGGCAGCTTCTAACACTGGTTAGAAGCTTCACTGCACAATCAGCCGGGAATCAAACAGTGTTAAGGCACATTAAATTTCGTAAGTGGAACTGTACAGTGTGTGCTGTGGTGATCCTATGAAACAATAATGTCCAACCACAACAGCAGCTGTAGTTAATGAATTTTAAAAGCTTATTTACATGGATGTTACAAGCTGTGCTGAATCATAAAATTGCAAAACACACTATAATCACATACACCCTTAGGATGTGAAGAACTTCACAGCAGGAGGCCTTGTTGTACTTTTAGAAAACTGCTCTTTGACAGTCACCCTGGACCCAAATATGCATTCATAATAGAAAATTCTTCCCAGCTGTTTAGTGATAAGATGTTTTTAGCCACAGGGCAACAACTTATCGCTGTAATTAAGCCTCCGTTTGACTTCATTTGCTCTGACAGTATGGAGCATGACCGGCACAGCTTAGACAGACAATCAGGTCTTTCCCTAGTTACAGCATGAGAGAAATGCTGCCTTTAAGTGGATTCACGATTTCCTCCTTTGCCATAAGGGGTTTTATGAAGCCGTTAGGTGCCATCCCTCATCCTTTTCATATGCATTATCAATGAAGCTAAACTCCTGAGGTGATGGAAGCTGTCCCATGGATTTTTAGTGACATTCTTGGCAAACCGTTTACAGCTGTAAGCAAAGTCAATTTTAATAACTGTCGTTCACCTTGTTTTGTTTTTTAAAGGTGCCCTACACTGATTGTGTTCCTGCTTGACACTGATTTTATATATTTGCTGCGGGCAACGTTGGAAAAAGACTAAATGCTCCTGTTACATATGACTTCTTATTTAAATTATAACAATATATTGCAACACTACTTCTGTTCTTATATTAATCACATACAAAGAAAGCTTAGCACAGCTTGGGCAGCCTGGAGCACAGCCGGAGGTCCTTAGCAGAACCCTGCTGGTTGTTTCACAAACTCAGCTGGTAACAAAAGGTGACCGAGCCTTTTCTGTCAGAGCTCCCAAAGTTTGCATATGAGCTGTCAGTGGAGATAAGGCTAGCCAGAACATTTCCTCTTTAAATTACTTCTCAAAGCACACTTGTATTCTGCAAAAAAATTATCAGAGGAAACACTGGAATATGGGAATTCACATTTTTATTACATTAGGATAAATGCATTAATCCTTCCACTCACACTTCCTTCCATATTGTGCTCATTTCAACAAAGAAAAGATAAAGTGGAGTGATACCACCGCATCTTTCTTCAAATTGTGCTTAACAGAACACAAGTTGAGGCATAAATTCAGTTAAAGGCTCAGCTTTTGAAGTGATATTGACATTTTAAACTCAATTTCAAACCATACAAATAGAATATTGGATTAGCTCAGAATAATATTTCAAGTCACAATTCCAATCCAGCATGGCGTGGTCGGCAAACACAGCTGAGAAAATGAGTGCTAAAATTTCCAGCCTTCCCTTTGGCTATGCGACTGTAATGTTAATATGAATAGTTACACACTCGCTTACCTAAATCAGCATTTTAATACCTGATGTCAGGTACTAAATGTTGAATATGGTGTAAATCCTGCAAAACTTAGGCTAAGTAAAAACTGCTATCATCTTTATGGCATGGCATATTGGGGAGAGCATTAAAAACAGGCAGCAGCAGTGCAGCCCAATATATCAGCCTCACCATTTTATATTTTATATCAATATGAATGAATAAAAAACCTCATTGTAAGTTATACATTAACAACAGCTTAAATAGTCAATATTAAGCAAATTAAGTATTTACTGTAAACATGATTAGTGCTGCTGCATGGGTAACTAAGGGATGACAACCCAAATTATTAATCTAACTGCATAAATTGTGTTTGACTCCTGGTTGTGTTTTGAATTCTACCATATGGAAGAAAGAATACTTGACTGACTTATTTCAACAAGTACCTACGTCAATTAATGATACAGAGAGTGTGACAAAGAGTGACACAGAAAGAGAGAGAGGGGGAAAGATAAGTAACCATGCTGTGATGACAGCCACCAGGCCTGGTAGTTGACTTCTGCGATGCACATTCATTCAGCACCGCTGCGAATCTTCCTGCCAGGAGTGAGTTTAATGCCCACATCATGACAGTATTCACTGAGCAGAATGGCCCGTCATTCACTCTCCCGTCTGATAGAGAGCCTGAGAACTCACTCTGCTATAAAAGGCTAATCTAAACCCCGCTACCTGGCCCTCATTTCGGCCGCACTGTCACTCTCTATAGCAGCCTCGTAGTGAATGGGAGTCATCTCGGGCAGTTCACCTTACAGTATAGAAAATCATTAGACAGATTTATGAGGACAAACAGCGGCTTTTTTGTCATCATATTTCACTGATCCTTTTCACATTTTCGGACGAAAGATGAAAGGGGAGATGGAGGCATGAAAAGGACAAGGAGGGGAAGGCTCTGAAAGACCTTATTGATCACATCCAGAAGCTATCGACAGGTCCCTTCCTCTGATGATGAAGTAGCCACCTAGCGAGTGCCAACCAGGTCCCCAGTGCAGGAAGGGAGAAAGCAGAGAGGACATATTCAGCATGCAGGAGCCTGCTTCCCATATCCCCTGACATGCGGGCAGGCTGGAAAAATGTTCTGCTTATGACAGTGGATGGCTAAGGTAATGGCTGGTGACTGCTACCATTGCTCATAGTAATGATGGTTTCACCCAGGAATACTGTGTACCTTTGTAACCCCCCCTCCTCTGTCGTTTCCCTCCCATGACTCCCTCATCTTCCTCTCTCTCTTCTTCATTCTTTGGTTTTCTCTCTTAAATTTTCTTCCCCCCTCATCATCTATCTACCGTTCTGTCCTCACCTCCTGTCCTCACCTCCTGTCCTCTCTCTTGCTCTCTCCATTTCTCTTCCTTCCCGTCTTAGTCTATCATGATGTGCACAGCATTCTTACACTGTCCATTTCATGTCACTTCCCACAGTATTAGGGGCCAACTTGTGGTATTAGCATGATGCAG